ATGGATTGTGAGATCGATCGAGGGAGATCGATCGAGCGAGACCGATACTGAGATCGATAGTGAGATCGATAGTGAGACCGATCGAGTGAGACGTTGGTTCCTCCCCCCCCGAACCTCCTTATCACCCGAAGGGTGGTCGTATAGGTACGGCTGAAGGCGCCCAAGACGGCACAAGAGAAGCCCAAGAGGCCTCCCAAGAGGCAGAGAACGTTCAGTTTCAGTAGGAAACGTACGTGTTTAGCATGCGGCTTTTCGGCTTAACTGCGTTCAAAACGGCCCAAGAAACTTCCAATATCGTCCCATGACGACCCAAAAGTCACCTACGTGGGCCCCAGGATAGCCCAAGAGAGCCCCAACACGGCCCACAGAGAGCTCCAAGAGGGCCTCAACGCAGCCCAAGAGGGCCCCAAGACGGCCCCCAAAAGCTCCAAGACAGCCCCAAGTGGGGCCCAAGAGGGGGAGCCCGAACCGACAATTCGAGCTTCCCGCTCCAAGATCCCCCCCAAAGGTCCCTTAAAGATATCAAGATGACCCCGAGATGCCCCAAGAGGCCCCCAACAGGCCCCAAAGACGCTCCAAGAGGCCCCAGAATGGCCCCAAGAGAGCCCCTGATGGCCCCAAGATGCACCGAAGATGACCCAAGATGCACCCAAGATGGCGCAAGACGGACCAAGAGGCCCCCAACACGCCTCCAAGACGGTCCACGCGGTCTCCAAGAGGTCCTCCAAGAAGGCCCGCAGAGGCCAACACCATTGACTTTCTTGTGAAAGTTATTGGCCTTTGCTTCAAAAGGGCCTTTCGACGGCCTTCTGATTGACCAAGGGGCCCCCAAGATTGCGCCCAGAGCGCCCAAGAGGCGTCACATTGCTCCAGAACGGCCCAAGATGCTCCCAAAAAGGCCACCAGAGGGCCCCAAGACGGCCCGAGAGGCCTCCAAGACGGTCAAGATGCCATTCAGGACGCCGTAAGACAGCCATAGAGGCCCCCAAGAAGCCCACAAAGGCCCCCAAGAGGCCCAGGAGGCCCCCACGAGGCCTCCAAAAAGCCCACGAGGCCGCAAGAATGACCCAAAAACCTCTGAAGAGGTCTCCTCATCCTTCTCGTCTTCCTTTCTCATCCCTTCTTGTTCCTCCTTCTCTTCATCGCCCACGTGTTCCCCGAAGGGCTTCCACAACGGCTGGAGGTACGCCTGGTCCAATATCGTGGCCAAGCTTGTCCCAAACGTTTGGCCACATAGGCGTATCCTAGAAGGCAGGGGGAGGCAGCCAGTAATGCGCCGTTGGCGTCGTCGATTAAATTCCCCAAACAGTTCTTGCACTTAGAAGATCTTCCCTCTGAGATGGGCCTGGGTGTTGGCGGGATGCAAATGGGGGGATAAGTCCAGATGGGGAGAGAGGCGCAACCGAGGCACAAATTGTACCTACGCCCCACGGAGAAGGTACAATTTGTACCGACGCCACGCAGACAAGGTACAAATCGTACTTTTGACAACGTCCGCGACATGTGCGAGGATGTTAACGGGGGGGGAGAAGGTACAATTTGTACTTGCAACCCGCAGAGAAGGTACAAATTAAAACCCCAACAAAACTGTACCGGATACTCATCCCCCCATGTCCTGATCCCCCCGTCGCCATCCGGCCGAGGGTGGCGGTCTGGCGATTCCGCGCTCGCAGGACGCAGCCCCGTCGCCGCTTCGTCGCCGCCCGTCGTCTGGGCCTGGGTGCCGGTCTGGCGGTTCCATGGTCGCCGTCGCCGCCTCGTCGCTGCCCGTCGCAGTGTGTTGGGCGCCCGAGTTATCAGGGGTAACTCGGGTCGGGGGTAACTCGGGTTCGGAGTCCCGAAAAAGGAACCCGAGTTAGCCCTGACCCGAGTTACCCCTGATGATTCGGGGCTCTGGACGCCCGAATTATCCGGGGTAACTCGGGTCCGGGGTAACTCGGGTTCGGAATCCCGAAAAACGAACCCGAGTTAGCCCTGACCCGAGTTACCCCTGATGATTCGGGGCTCTGAGTGTGGTCACCGCTTAGATGGTACAGCATAGATCCTCCTCTCTAGAAGAAGAATAGGCTCTCCCCCCCGTCGGAGTGAGTTGACGGGCCCCCTTTTCGTATTGCAATTTTCATATGATTCTGCCACATCGTCCATCATGTTATCCCAGCCGAACCTGTATCACTCCCCCCCGCCATACTCTATCGGGGTAGGCTAGGGGTGGTGGTTCCGAATCAGTTTTGGTTGCAAAATCGGAGCTCCAGCTCACTCCGGGTCGGCCCCTCGCCCTGGAGAGCTCGAACGCGGGCTCATACAAAAAAAAAGCAGCGGCCGCCCAGACGGCCCAAGAGGGCCCTGAGTGGCCGAAACATCGCTCCAAGACGCCCAATCTGTTCCTCAGACGGCTCCAGAAGCCTCCAACGTGCCCTCCAGGCACTTCCTAGGAGTGCCCAGAGACGGAAAATCTGCACCATTCCCTTAGGAACACGTGTTTTTTTTGCATTTTCGCTTCTTCGGCCTTCGCAGTGTCCAACACAGCCCAGAAGACCCCCCAAACAGGCCCAGAGGCCCTCAAGAGGGCCCCACATCGGCCTAAAAAGGGCCCAAAACGGCCCCCAAGACAGCCCAAGCGGGCCCCAGGACGGGCCCAAGAAGCGCGCAAGAGGGCTCCATGACGGCCCCAGAAGGGCCCAAGGCGGCCCAAGAGGCGCCCAGGAGATACCAAAATAGCAACCCCGAGAGGCCCCAAGTGGCCCTCCAGAGGCCCCCACAAGGCGCCCCAAAGCGCCCGAAGGCTTAAACATTACCTCCTACACACCCCCAGGAGCCCTCCAGGATGCCTCCTGCGTGCCCCCCAAGAAGCCCAAAAAGGCCCCCACGAGGTTCAACAATCACCTCCAAAACGCCCCCCAGGAGGCCTCCATAAAGATGCCGAAAGACTCGGACCCAGATCTTCTAACTGCCTGCAAAACTGAAGCGCAGCGCGGAGAAGGGAAAAGATCACCCCGCGCTGGGGCGAAAACGTCCTTCTGACAGCGGGATCGTCCGGGATCGGCGGCACCGGCTGGGGGCCTCTACAATATGAATTCGTACTATCCCAGCCCAACCTGTATCACCCCCCCCGCTGACCTGAGATGGTCCCAGGGGCCTGCCATGCAGCCCCGTTGGGGTCCCGTGCGGCCGTCTTGGAAACCCTGGGGAGAACGCCACGAGGCCTGCACCGCCCAAGAGGCCTCTGAAGAGACCAGGAGGAGGAGGAGGAGGAGGAGGAGGAGGAGGAGGAGGAGGAGGAGGAGGAGGAGGAGGAGGAGGAGGATCCCGGCGGCGACGCGCTTCGGGTGCATGGCCCTTGCGCGTCGCGTGCACGGTCCCTGCGCGTCGGGGCACGGTCCTTGCCGGCCAGGGCCCGAGGCATACGGTGGGAGCACTGGTCCGAACACGACCGCTTCGCAAGGCACGCGCCCGCAGCTCACAGGCCCTCTGAGCGCAGGGTGGGCGCTTTCATGGGCTGGTTCTTTCCACTCCCACCCACCTGCTTCCCCTTCTGGAAGGCGTCTGCCCCTCCCTCCTCCCCTCGGTCTGGACGCCCCCCCGTTCCCCCCCCCCGACTGCTCCGCAACATTGCCCAAGTCGTGTCTCCGACGGGCCCCCAGACCGCCACAGGACGGTCCCAGGTGGCCACGGAGCCTCCCGAGGGCACCCCCGACCGAGGCATCTCTAAATCCTTCAAGCGCCGGCTGCTTTTCCATGCGTGGTGCCCCCTCGCCCTTTCGCTCCCGACGGGCCTTCCGGATCTCCTAAATGCACTGGATGCCCAGATTCCCAGGCGGAGTGTCTACCATTTCCAAGAGAAGGAAGAGGGAAGGCACAGGACAACTTGTCACGTCGGCGGTTCGGCAGAGTCACTGCGCTGGCGAGGAGGCGAAGCGGGGCCGCTCCGACGAGCGCGCCCGGCGCCCCCCAAACACGGGACACCGGCGAACACGCCGTAGGCGTGGGCCCCCCGTGGGGCCCAGCACGCGCGCGGCGAAGCAACAGTATACAGAGCAGATGGCCAGGCGCGCGCCTGGCCCAGCTTGGCTCCCCCTCCCCGCCGGCGTGCGTCCGCACCACACTCTGCCAGCGCGCGAGTCGAAGGCGTTGCCGTCACCAGGGAGGCCGAGCGGGCCCTAGTGGCCCTGGGCGCCAAACCCCCGTCTCGCTCCCAAAGTCGCGCAACGGCGAGTTCGCGTAGGTGGCCCAGTCACCCCAGGCTGAGCTGGTGAAGCCGTCCTGGTAAAGCATGCGGTGTTGTACTCCTTGAGTGGAACTGGGTACATGCCAAGAAACGGTGCGGAAAACTACATACGTGAATCATAGCACAACCGATTGGAGTCCACCAGAGAGGTCAAAACTATGCCAACCTGCCTATGCCCACAGCTAGCGTGGGTCAATGCCCGTCCCACGGGGCGTCAACCTGCACAAGGCCCAGAGCAGGAACGACAACGACGATCGCACGCGAACGGGGTACGATCGCAGAGCCGAGCGGTATCGCACGCCAGCAGCCCCTCACGACCCGAGATGGGAGGAGGAGGAGGCGGAGGAGGAGGAGGAGGAGGAGGAACAGGAGGAGGAGGAACAGGAGGAGGAGGAGGAGGAGGAGGAGGAGGAGGAGGAGGAGGAGGAGGAGGAGGATGAGGATGATGATGAGGAGGAGGAGGAGTTGAGCAGGCGGATGACGGGTGGGAGAAGGAGGGGGAAAAGGAGGAGGAAGAGGACGACGAAAAGAAGGAAGAGGAGGTCCTCCCGGCCCTCCCCTCCGTCCAACCCTGGGTAATTCAATGTTTGCATTATTCTATCGTCATCCCCGCAACGCAGGACAATTTCCTCTCCCGCCCTCTTCTTCTCCTCTTCATGATATCCCTCCCCCTCCCCCCCTGCCCCTCCTCCCTATTATCCTTCTCCAACCCCTCCCCCTGCATGTCTTTCCTACTCCGCCCCGCCTCTCCATCCCCCTTGACGCCCCGTACCACCCGGATTTGGTTCATCTTCGGGTCGCGTTGGAGGTTGTCGGCGGCGTTCACGAGGATCTCATCGAAGATCTTGTACAGCGCCGGCACGTAGTTCAAGCCTCGGAGGTCCCTCCTGCTATTCCCTGCCTGGCACTGGACACGTAAAGCCAGCTCTTCCCTCACACATTACCAACGTCACGATTCCAAATGGGCCCCACGATGTCGGCAAGAGGCCCAGACATGGCCTCAAGACAGCCCGCGATTGCTCCAAGAAGCCCGCGATGGCTCCGAGAAGGCCCAGGATAGGATTGGCTTCAAGAGGCTCCACCTCCTTCACACTCTACTGCGCATTGCACCGACCTTGCAGACGTTCTGCAGCGGAGTTTTGCGTGGATTTCCATAAACGCAAAATCCCAAAACGGCACGAAGTGAATGTCACGTGGATGTTTTGTTATCTTCATTCCTGGCCTCAAACAAACTCGCGCAAAATTCACTTCGAATCCGGAACGAACTTCTCCAGGACAATCTGGGCCCATCCCATGGTTTTCGAACGAAATCCGCTATGCGACGTTGGCACCATGAAGCGTACCCTCTTGCCTCGTATCAGCCCGGGTCTCCGACGCTGTGTACTTACGCCGTGGACCCAGAGAGGTCTACGCAGACCCCTTCCCCAGGACTAGCTTTTCATCCCGAGCCGTTCTTGGACGGCCACGAGGTCAAGTCAGGGCCCCTGTAATCCGAACGCTGCAAGAAACCACCCAACGTGATTTTTCCACTACGAAAGAAAAGGTGGTCTGAGAAGTGCTTGCGCCAGAGCTTTGCAACACTTTGCGGCCTCTCAGTGAAAGCTCAGGTCTTCCCCCGCCCCCGCGAAGGCGTCCAAGCTGACACAAGAAGAACCTCAGGGAGAGACAGCTCTCCCCATCGGGGGGCGGGGGGGGGAAAAGGTGGCCTCCGCGACACCGCAAGATCTCCTCCACCCTCGGAGGGGCCTTCCTCGGGGGCCTCCCCGAGCGCGGGGGGGGGGTCCAGTGATACCTCCCCGAGGCCTCCTCATCCTGGCGACCCTCGTGGAAAAAGGTGGGCGACGACGAGGGTGTGGACGGGGACGAGGAGATCAAGGATGACGAGGACAGGCCCCCTGAAACCACCGAAGCAGCTTGCACAGATGTGGAAGACCACGGCATCTAAAAGCAGCCGGTCGAGAGGGGCCCAAAACCCAACGCAGCCGTGAGCAGCGCGGGCCATTGCAGTCGGACCTGGGCCAGAATACAGTCGGGGCCTTGACCTACGGAGCCCAAAATAAGGAACGAGGCCCCTTTTTCCCAACCATCCTGTGGTGTTGGGTCCTCGTTTTGAAGAGACAGCGCCCCGCGTCCACTCCTCCCGCTGCCCCTCCCCCTCCTCCTTGCGTTTCACCCACCCAGCACAGCGTTTCGTAGCCCCATAGGGAGCTCCACCGAAGGCCCCAGTGGGGGTGTTCGCATGCGGTTCCCCCACCCAGGGCAGCGTTTCGTGGCCCCATAGGGAGCTCCACCGAAGGCCCCAGTGGGGGTGTTCGCATGCGGTTCCCCCACCCAGGGCAGCGTTTCGTAGCCCCATAGGGAGCTCCACCGAAGGCCCCAGTGGGGGTGTTCGCATGCGGTTCCCCCACCCAGGGCAGCGTTTCGTGGCCCCATAGGGAGCTCCACCGAAGGCCCCAGTGGGGGTGTCCACATGCGGTTCCCCCACCCAGGGCAGCGTTTCGTAGCCCCATAGGGAGCTCCACCGAAGGCCCCAGTGGGGGTGTCCACATGCGGTTCCCCCACCCAGGGCAGCGTTTCGTGGCCCCATAGGGAGCTCCACCGAAGGCCCCAGTGGGGGTGTCCACATGCGGTTCCCCCACCCAGGGCAGCGTTTCGTGGCCCCATAGGGAGCTCCACCGAAGGCCCCAGTGGGGGTGTTCGCATGCGGTTCCCCCACCCAGGGCAGCGTTTCGTAGCCCCATAGGGAGCTCCACCGAAGGCCCCAGTGGGGGTGTTCGCATGCGGTTCCCCCACCCAGGGCAGCGTTTCGTGGCCCCATAGGGAGCTCCACCGAAGGCCCCAGTGGGGGTGTTCGCATGCGGTTCCCCCACCCAGGGCAGCGTTTCGTGGCCCCATAGGGAGCTCCACCGAAGGCCCCAGTGGGGGTGTTCGCATGCGGTTCCCCCACCCAGGGCAGCGTTTCGTGGCCCCATAGGGAGCTCCACCGAAGGCCCCAGTGGGGGTGTTCGCATGCGGTTCCCCCACCCAGGGCAGCGTTTCGTGGCCCCATAGGGAGCTCCACCGAAGGCCCCAGTGGGGGTGTCCGCATGCGGTTCCCCCACCCAGGGCAGCGTTTCGTGGCCCCATAGGGAGCTCCACCGAAGGCCCCAGTGGGGGTGTCCGCATGCGGTTCCCCCACCCAGGGCAGCGTTTCGTGGCCCCATAGGGAGCTCCACCGAAGGCCCCAGTGGGGGTGTCCGCATGCGGTTCCCCCACCCAGGGCAGCGTTTCGTAGCCCCATAGGGAGCTCCACCGAAGGCCCCAGTGGGGGTGTTCGCATGCGGTTCCCCCACCCAGGGCAGCGTTTCGTGGCCCCATAGGGAGCTCCACCGAAGGCCCCAGTGGGGGTGTCCGCATGCGGTTCCCCCACCCAGGGCAGCGTTTCGTAGCCCCATAGGGAGCTCCACCGAAGGCCCCCCGCATGTGGTTCCCCCACCCAGGGCAGCGTTTCGTGGCCCCATAAGGAGCTCCACCGAAGGCCCAGTGGGGTGTCCGCATGCGGTTCCCCCACCCAGGGCAGCGTTTCGTAGCCCCATAGGGAGCTCCACCGAAGGCCCCAGTGGGGGTGTCCGCATGCGGTTCCCCCACCCAGGGCAGCGTTTCGTAGCCCCATAGGGAGCTCCACCGAAGGCCCCAGTGGGGGTGTCCACATGCGGTTCCCCCACCCAGGGCAGCGTTTCGTAGCCCCATAGGGAGCTCCACCGAAGGCCCCAGTGGGGGTGTCCACATGCGGTTCCCCCACCCAGGGCAGCGTTTCGTAGCCCCATAGGGAGCTCCACCGAAGGCCCCAGTGGGGGTGTCCACATGCGGTTCCCCCACCCAGGGCAGCGTTTCGTAGCCCCATAGGGAGCTCCACCGAAGGCCCCAGTGGGGGTGTCCACATGCGGTTCCCCCACCCAGGGCACGTTTCGTGGCCCCATAGGGAGCTCCACCGTAGGCCCCAGTGGGGCTGCCGCATGCGGTCCCCCCCCACACAGGGCAGCGTTTCGTAGCCCCATAGGGAGCTCCACCGAAGGCCCCAGTTGGGGTGCCCGCGTGCGGTTCCCCCACCCAGGGCAGCGTTTCGTGGCCCCATAGGGAGCTCCACCGAAGGCCCCAGTGGGGGTGCCCGCATGCGGTTCCCCCACCCAGGGCAGCGTTTTGTAGCCCCATAGGGAGCTCCACCGAAGGCCCCAGTGGGGGTATTCGCATGCGTCTCCCCTACCCAGAGGTAGCGCCACCGAAAACGATATTCATATTTGCAATATTCACAACTGCATATGGTTGGGTCCTTCGCCAGGCTAATTCTCCATAAGTTAAACTTCGATTTCCGATCGAAAACATAAGGAAAACCTGAGGCACGCTGCGAAACACTTAAGGAACGCGGAGCCCCTCCCCAACGGAAAGTGTTCCTTCTTTAGGGCCCCGACTGTATAATCCTTCAGGAACATGAGGCCCTCCGTTGGCCCAAACAACCAGAGCATTCAGGGGCGCCCTCCGCAGGATGCACAAGAACATCCAACAAGCACGAAGAACGCTAGGGTACCCTCCCCGAACCGACCTCGACCTCATATCTCGGTCCCGCTGCACCCTCTCCTCGTCGGCAGCGCGAGCCAATGGGCTGACGGAGCGTGGAGCAGTGCCGAGGGGACGCCGCGGACCAGGCGCGCAGGGGCGGGCTGAGGCCCCCTGCGGCGCGCGTTCCACGGCGACGCAAGTCATCCAGGGTGAGTTCCTCCTCCTCCTCCTCCTCCTGCTCCTCCTCCTCCTCCTCCTCCTCTGACGTCTGGGCGAAGCGTCAGGTGGGTATGTGCCAAGATGGGCGGGGGGGCGGCATGCAAACGCACCCGCTGGGGCTGAAGGTTGAGCTCCCCGTGGCGCACGAGACGTGTGAGGTGCGCAGCGAGTCGAGGGCGGCATGCGAACGCACCCACGGGAGCTGCGGATGGGGCTCCCAGTGGGGCATGAAACATGAGGGATGTGCCGAGATGGGTGGTGCGAACGCACTCACTGGGGCCGTAAGTGGAGCTCCCTGTGGAACACGAAACGTGTGAGGGGTGAGCCGACATGAGCTGGGCGGCGGCATGCGAACGCACCCTCTGGGCCCGTAAGCGGAGCTCCCTGCGGGGCCATGTAACGTGTGAGAGGTGTGTCAAAAGGGCGGCACGGCGGCATGCGAATGCACCCACTGGGACCTTTTTGGAGCTCCCCCTGGGGCCCGAAACGTGTGAGAAATGTACTGAAATGGGCAGGGCACCAACGTTCCCTGCGGGGCCACGAATCGTGTGAGGGGTGTGCCGGAATGGACAAGCTGGGCGCGGAGGCGTGGATTCAAAGCGTGGGCCCAACAACACAGGAGGGCTTGTGAATGCAATCACATGCTCCCCTTCCGTCCTCCTCCTTCTCCTCCTCCTCCATATCAGTCCTCAACTCCTCCCATCCTCATCCTTCCCACCTATCCGCCTTCTGCGCCTCCTCCTCCACATCTCTCCTCCTACTCCTCCCCGCCTCCTGTTCCTCGTCCTCCTCCTCCTCCGCCTCCTCATAATCAGAGCGAGGGGGCCGACAGGTCATTCACTGTGCCTGGGCGCGTGGCTGAAGCGGGGTTCCACGGGGTGGATTGTCGTTGCGTTGCTGCGTGTACACTCTCATTTTCGAATGAAAAAACTAATGTTGATCCCCCTTCCGGTGACCATCGTGTTTCATTTGAAATGTCACTATGGGGGCTCGCACCCTGTTTCTTACCAGGGGAACTCTTAGGACTCACGCTGGGCATTTGGCGAGGGGCCTCCCTACAGTTCATCTAGGAAGCGCGCTCTCGCGTGGGACGTCCTCCCAAATTCTTGAAACGCCGC